CATGCCTGCTGTGTTTCTTGCTGTCTGTACTTAGAACTGTGGCGTCCTTCAGGGCAGGTAGTGGGCATCTCATCTGTGTGTCCTCTGGGTCTTGCACTGTGCTCAGTGCATGCAGGCACTCAGAAAAGTGCTCTGAACAAGCGATAGTGAGGACACTTTTGTCTCTTTAGTGTTGAGCATTGGGCTTGGCACACAGTAGGTGCTCAATAAAGGCTTATTCCATGGAAGGCCAAGCATGATTTCTCAGGAACACTGGGAAGTGAGAAACATTTTGATCTCTGGAAAAGGCCACATCCAGGCTAGATAAAGAGGCTTTCAAATATCTTTCAATGAATGAGACCCACGCCCGACACACCTGCTTCCAAAATGTTCATTTCCCCTCCTTTGACTCAGCCCCTGGTCATTGCCAGCGCAGATTAAGACGTTTCCCAGTGAGTTTCTGGAGGAGTTCCTACTGAGGAACCCCAGGGCCTGCACCCAGGTTCTTGGGAGAGAACCAAAGCACGGTGAAATGCTGGGCCCAGGCAGTGGGAGGCAGTGGGGCATTTGGCCTCTTCCCTCACCTTTTGAGTCAAGCCAGGAAGGACGGTGCCCTCTGTCCAACATTTACTCAGTGCCAAGCATTTACCAGCAGAATCCAACGGAATCTGCACACGATCCTAGAGAGCAGGTGTGATCCCCGCTTTACAGATGGTAAAGCTAATTCTCAGGGGTGTTAACCAACTGGCCCAAGTTCCTGTGGGGAGAGTAGCAGAGCTGGCATCCACACCAGCTGCAGAGCTGTGCCCCAACTCTGGAGCTGCCTCCCACAAGATGGCTGCAGGGTGTCAACACACAATGACGTCAGTCCCGGGTGCACTATGTGCACACAGATGGGGACCTGTGGTACCTCCATTTTACAGAGGAAGGAAGATGCTCGAGCTACCCAGCTCAGGAGGGGACTTGAATCTATAAGCAGGCCCTGAAGCCCAAGGCCTGGCTGTACTGGCCTCTTCCACTCCTGTGTCACAGTGGCCATGGTATTCCCGGCATAGACCCCCCAACAGTCTCCCTGCCCCACCCCAAGTCTTGTCTCTCTTCAGTTTTTCCCACCCCACCCCAGCCCCACCACACCTCAACTGTCTGTATTTCTGTCTGCATCTGAGATCTACATCTCAGATCTGTCACGCCAGTGCCCATACAAGGCCCCCCGGTGGCCCCTTCTGGGACATGTCTATTTTTCAAGAATAGACACAAATCAAAAAGCTATTTACCTTGGAAACACTTCACACAAATACTTTCTTAATTAAATTCCATCTCTATCTCAAGCCCCTACTAATAAAATTCCATCTCTATTTTAGTAGGTGTATTAAGGACCTACTATGTGCCAAAACCTGTGGGAAGTGTTGGTGGGTGCGTGGGAGAACCCAGGAGGTCTGCAGACCTCACAGGTGTGGTGTTTCAAGTTGAGGAAGAGATCCGCATTCACCCTTGAATCCTCGATTTACCCTGTGCATCGGTACAAGGCCAGGGGATTACACTTGTCGGTATGTTTGATCAGCCCATTTACCTTTGAGAGACGGAGGCTCAAAAGGGCTGAGCGGCTTACCCCAGTGATAGGTGGTGGGGACTGAATCAGCCCAGGTCTCTGTTTTTCTCACAGTGAATACCATGATAGGTGGTGTGCATGAATGAAAGTGGGTGCACAGGCGGCGCTGAATTCGGGCTGAGACTGGCTCTCAATGGGGGCATGGTGGCAGCTGACGCTGAACAACCTCCAGGATTCATCTCTCCTCATTCACAGGGTACCTACAAGGTCCCAGGAAACCAGAAACATGAGTAGGAGACTGAGTCTCAGTTCACAAGCTGTGTCGCCTGGGACAAGTACTTACGTTTCTTAGCCTCATTGAACCGCCTAGGAACATGGAGAACGTAGCTGTGAAGAGGAAGGAGTGGACTGGGTGAAGCCCATGCACATGCTCTGTTCCCACGCATAGGGGATTCTCTGTAAGCACTGGGGGGAGGAGAGGGAGGGGAGCTCTGGGCTGGACTCTGTGTGTGGACAGCACTGAGGTCCCTGCCCCTGAGCCCTTTCCTCCAGGGGACGCTGTGGTGGACACGGATTAGTTCTTCTGGGGGTCAGAGACTGCCCTGAGAACTTGATGGGTGACAGCTTATTTAATGCTGACAGCAACCCTAGGAGAAAGTGCCATTGCTGTCTCTCTTTGACAGGTGGGGAAACTGAGGGCTGGAGAGGTTGAGAGACATCTCCACCCAGGTGACATGGCTGATGGTGAGAGAAGAGGTCTGAGCGTCAGTGCCTCTGCCCTTGACTGCATGTGAGGAGCTGGGGGCTCCAGCAGTGGGTGGGGGCGGGTGGGGACGGGGCACCTGTGCTGCCAGGTGGAGCTCTGTTCCCTCTCCATTCCCATCATACATGAAATATTCACAGCTGACACCCACCGACAGCCGAGGTGTGTCAGAACTATTTCTCTTCCAGTTTCCCTTAGACCCAAGAAACACCCTTTGGATCCTATCTCTCATTGCTAAGTCTGTGTCTTCCAAGGAGAGAAGTAAAAAAGAGAAACAGCGGAGAAAAATGGGGGCTGAGATGGGTTCTAAACAGAAATCTACTGTCCTGGGAACTTTTTGGAGTCTGTCTTCATGGGAAGGGGAGTGGTGAAGTGAACAACAGGTGCACCTGAGGGACTGGGGGAATGCGTGACCATGGATCAAGGGGCGCCGCATTTTAGAAGAGGACAGAGAAGGGAGGGAGGAGGCTTAGTCTGCTCTGGCTGCTGTGACAAAATACCATAGGCTGGGCAGCTTAAACAGCAGAAATGTATTCCTTGCAGTCCTGGAGGCTTGAAGTCTGAGATCAAAGGGCTGGCCATTTGGTTTTTGATAAGGGCTCACTTTTTGGCTTGCAAACAGCTGCCTCTCTGTCCTCAAATGATGAAGACGGGGGAGGAGGAGAAGCGGGGGTGAGAGAGAGAGAGAGATAGCATTCCACCTCTGGTGTCTCTTCCTGCAAGGACACTAACCTTTTTGGATCAGGGGTGCACCCTCACAACCTCATTTAACCTTAATTACTTCCTTACTCCACATACAGCCACACTTGGGGTTAGGGCTTCAACATGTGAATTTGAGGGAACACAATCTAGTTTGTAGCATGAGGCAGTTGGGAAGGTGACATTTGAGGCATCCTTGGGGGAGAGTTTGTGGGTAGGGAGAAGGCTTCCCAGAGTCCATCAGAGAGATTCCCTTCTCTGACGCCCCCAGCGTGCCTCAGTTTCCTCGTCTATAAAGTGAAACTACACAACTTCCTCACAGGGCTCCTATGAGATGATAGTGAGAAAATCTATCTTGAATGCTGAGCACAGGGTCTAGCACACAGGAGGTATTTCTCTTCTTAGCTAGCCAGGGGGGTGGGGTCTGTTGCCCATCACTTGGCAACGGCTGGGCTTGCGACTTGCTTCGAGCAATGGAATGTGTGGAAGGGACACTGAATTTCAGAGCCGGGGTCCCCAGGTGCCTTGCAGCCCTCCCTGTCACCTCTCTTGGTATCCTGTCAATAAGCCTGAGCTAGCCTCTTGGGTCATGAGAGTGAGGCAGAGGAGAGTGAGGAGACGTATTCTAGACCATCCAGGTGCCAGCTGGTCACCGACTTTTGGGGAAGCCCAGCAAATATCAATCTGGCTGGCCCAGACTGGGAACATTACCCAGCTGACTGACGGAATTATGAGCTACAAAAAATGATTGTGGCTGTAAGTCATTACATTTTGGAGTGTTTTGTTTTGTTTTTAAGCCCAGCAAAAGTTAAGTGGTAGCTGTATTATCTGTCCATCTTGCTGGTGTGTGTTTATATTGTACATGGCAAAGATCTTGGCAAATATGAGGGATTTTTGTCTTTCTTATTAAACTGGAAGATGACCTCTGAGTTGCTATTGAGGGGTACAACATCAGAACTGCTCTACAGCCTTGTTTCTTGCTCTGAGTATTTAATTATACGAACGTAAAAATTATACAGATAACCTGTGTACGTGTTCTCTGCGCAAAAACCTGGAACATCTGAGTCGAAGTCCTTTTGACCACGTCTGCCTTCCGATCCTCTCCCCAGGGTAATCCTGGGCCCCCCTTTCTCCCTGTGCATTTCTCTCTGTGAACCCACAGACACTGCAAAGCGGAGTTTTCCATCTTCTAAATGGCATTACCTCAATATTTTTCAACCATTTGCACTTTTGCCCAGTGATTACATTTTGGAGAACCTTTATCGAGATAAGAGCGGCCTCTCTGCGGATGTGTGTCAACTCTCCCGCCCGAGGTCTGGCACATGGCATGCTCTCAGTGAGTCGTTGCTGAGGGAGCGCCTGAAAGAACGCACATGGGCAGTGACGTTGTCATCCCGCCCGGCTTGCCCTGCTCCGGCACAGCCGCCTCACGGTCTGCACACCCGCGACTCCAAGCTGAGTCCTGGTGGCCCCGCCTAGAGCTCCGGGGAGGACCACCCCGCACGCGGCCCTGGCGTCTCACGGGAGGATGGGAAGAAGAACTTCGAAGGCCACGGTCATTGCCATGGACACCAGGCTTACTCTGCTTGCACAGAGTAAGTGGGGAGGATAGTGGGGGGCATAGACTTCAGCAACTTGGGGGAGGGGTGTGCGAGGTGGGGGCACCTCCCCTTTGGAGGATCAAAGCGCATGCGCTCAAGCCTCCTCCACTGCGCTCGAGCCTTGCCCAGGTCTCAGAGGGGAGGGCGGATTTCTCAGCTGCTCTGGTTTATATCCACACACAGATGTGGCCTGGTGTGAAGTCTCAGTACAGACGGTTTCTAGGGCAGGGTTGTGTCTAAGGGACCTGAAAAATGGGGAGCCTGAAGTCCCAGGAGCGCCCGATGCATCCCCACTGCTCACTGCTCTCCGACCCGTTAGACTCACATGCCAGATCAGGCCATTCCCCACCGCACAGCTAAACGCCAAGCAGCCTGTGTTCTGCCTGGAACGCATTTTCTGTGACATCGGTCACGTTGTGGGCTGGAAGTCCGAAGGACACAGGTGTCTTGGGGATTCTCCTCCTGCCTTTCTTTCTTTCTTCATTCCTCCCCTCCATCCTCCAGACATGATATATTGAGGGGCAGTGATACGTGGGGCGGCGTGGCAGGCACCGAGGATTTCAGGAGCCTGAGTCAAGTAGAAGGGTCCTTGTGGGGGCTCAGTGCTCAAGAGAGCAGCCCCCTCCCACTAAAACACATTCGCTCATGGTTGGAAGAGTTGGACAGAGCCTCATCTGCCTTAGAGGTCTTTAGGGAGCACCTTTCTCCTTGGTTAGTATTTGGGAGGAGGCAAGAGAGAGGAAAGTGCACTAAGGAGAGGGCTCCTGGAGCTTACGATCTAGTTGGGGACAAATACGTAGCAGTGAAGGCCTGTGAGAAAGACACAGGAACAGTGACCCCAACAAAGTGGGTTGATCAGGGCCCCAGGGCAGGGCCAGCCATGGCAAACCAGAGGAAGAAGATGCTGGGTGGAGGGCAGGGGTCAGAGTGGGGCGGGCCCTGAGACCAGGCAGAGCCTAAAGAGAAGGAGGCTGTCCTGTACTGGGGAGAGGGATCAGGCGCCATGGGAACCCACCACGGGGCAGGCTGCCTCCACTCCAACAGCTGAGTAGGGTGACCAACTGTCTCAGATTGCCCAGGACCTAAAGGTTTCCCTGGACACGGGGCTCTCGGTGCTAAAACCAGGAAAGTCCTGGGCAAATGGGGATGAGTTGATCACCCTCAGGCTGGGTCACTGGGCGAAGCCTCCCAGAGGCTAGAGGAGCTGTAGCTGGGCCCGGAATGTGGTGCGGGCTGAAGCAGCCCAGGGAAAGGCTGTGGGCGGGGTGACTGCATCCCTGCCTGGGTTATTACTACAGGGAATGGTCTGGCCGGCTAGCCACCCACTACCAGCCTGAGATGAACTTTTGCTTTCACCGCTGGCTGCACTTGAAACCAATGACGCAAGCCGAGGCATGTAAATAATGACTTCACAGCCACCTGGCCTGCATCCCGTGGTTGGGCAAGTCTGGAAGGGGCCTGGGGATGCAATGACTGTAATCTCCACCATATGGCCTCCTTCCCTTCCTCACATGGTCAGAGGTCACTCCTCGTTTCCCCCAGGAGCGTCCTGGGGCCGGAAAGAGGCAGGAGGCAGATAGGGGCAGAGGTTCGGAAGCCCCAGTATTAACCGAGTGGCAGCGGCTCCCACTTACTGAGCTCCAAGCTGTGCCTCAGGGACCAGATGCTTAGAGGCCTCCTCTCAGTTCACCCCTACAACGATCCTCTAGGGGAGGTGCTTGTGGTAGGGTTTCTTACATCTGCCGTCACCAATGACTGCAAATTTAGTGCTTAAAACATCAATTTAGAACCTTACAGTTCTGGAACTAGAAGTCCAGAATTATTCTCACTAGGCTAAAGTCAAGGTGTTGGTGGGGCTGGGTCTTTCTGGAGGCTTTCTGGAGCCTTTTCTTTTCTTGTTTCCTTGCCTTTTCTGGCTTGGAGAGGCAGCCCACACCCCCGGGCTTGTGGCCCCTTCCTTGTGATACTCCAACCTCTGGCTTCCTTTGTCACACTCTGACAGCTCATTCTGACCCCTGATCCCTCTCATGGGGACCTTTGTGATGACATTGGGCCCACCTGGATAATGCCGGATGGTCTCCCATCTCAAGATCCTGACTTAGTCACATCTTCAGAGTCCCTTATGTCATCTAAGGTAACACATTCATGGGTTCAAGGGGTATCTTTGGAGGGCCTTCATCAGCCTAGCACAGTGCTACTCTTGTTCCCATTATACTGATGAGGAAACTGAGGTTCAGATAATGTGTGTGTCTTGCCCAAGGTCAGGGCTAGGATGGGTATCCAGCCCAGGCCCTGGAGGGCCACCACATTAGCTCATTTGGCTCGTGGATCCCCTTGTGAAAACTAAGAGGAGGTGTTTGTCCTCTGGGCACAGGTGGCCCACACTGGGTGCACAGCTTGGTGAGTGGCACGATCTGCACATCAGCCCCTGGATGCCCCTAAGCCAGATGCCTCTGTGTAGTGACAACTTGTCACTGTGCAGCCATATGTGGCCTCCAAGGCTGCTTCCGTCGTCTCTCTTAACCTGAGGGCTAATGATAAGTGGCCTACTTGGGGTGAAGATGGGATGATAGGACAAATGACTGTGGGGCTGCCTTCTCTGTGCCAGTTGTGTACAGAACTGCTTCCTCCTAAGTCCCCTAGGGGCAGCTGCGCCCAAAGATGATAAAAGGGAGGGTGAAGAAGAGAGACTCTCCTGCTGTACTAGCCAAGTGACCTTGCCTGGTCTTTAGGAAGGGCTAGTTCTCAGACTTACCTTCTCTGGTGAGGTTGGCAAACGTTTTCTATAGAGGACCAGACAGTAATTATTTTTTACTTTGCTGGCTATATGGCCTCTTTTGCAATAGTCAGCTCCTATTGCGGCGCTTAAACAGCTATGGACAAGGACTACACTCTTGGGAGTAGCTGTGTTCCAATAAAACTTTATTTATAAAAACAGGCAGTGGGCCAGACTTGGCCTCTCCTTAGTGCACTTTTCTCTCTCTTGCCTCTTCCCAAATACTAACCAAGGAGAAAAGTGCTCCCTAAAGAACTCTAAGGCAGATGAGGCCCTGTCCAACTCTTCCAACCATGAGGGAATGGGTTTTAGTGGGAGGGGTCTGCTCTGTTGAGCGGTGAGCCCCCACAGGGGCAGTCACTGCTAGGGTCTGTGAGCACACACTGTGTGTAAGACAACTGCTGACATCATCTCCTTAAATTTATAGGACGCTCCTCCATTATATTCCCAGGAAGTAGAATCATAAACAACCTCACATCCCCCACCACAATACCCAATACAAAGGCGGGGGCGGGGTGACTTTGATGGGAATTCATAAATATTCACAGAGCTAGAACCAGTCTGAAATTAATAGGCTGGCTAATAATTTCATCCCCTCTATCCCTTTCCAAACAGATGTTCTTTAAGTCCAGGGTTGTAAACACAATACCTACAGGGCCACACAAATAAGATGAGGCTAAACAGCTGCTGTAGAACAACCTGGAGTTTCAGGGAGGCTTCCCTTAACTCACGCTGTGCCACGGCTACTGTACAAATGGAGGACAACACGCCATTTGTCAAAACGTTTTAAAGATAGGATTCGGCTAATGAATTGTGAGCAAAATATGCCCTCTCCTTTTACCTGGACAGATGCACCTTTGCACCCTGGAAGGAAGGCTGGGTTTGAGTATAGCCTTCTGGGAATCTGTGATGGTGACTTTTATGTCACCTTGGCTAAGCTATGGAGGCCTAGTTATTTGGTCAAACCCAGTCTAGCTGGTGCTGTGAAAGTATTTTTTAGATGTGATTGACATTTAAGTTACTAGACTTTGAGTTAAGCAGATGACCTTCCATTATGTGGCTGGGCCTCATCTAATCTGTTGAAGGTCTCAGGAGATAGACTTTGCCTGAGTTTCCAGCCAGTTGCCCTTTGGAATTTGGACCTAGGACAGCAATATCTGGCCTACCAGCCTGCCCTACAAATTTCAGCCAGCCGTACTTGCCAGGACCCACAATTGCACAAACTAATTCCTTATTCCTTAAAATAAATCTCTCTTTCTCTCCTTGTATGTATACACACACACACACACACACACACACACACACACACACACACACACTATATTGGTCTGTTTCTCTTGTGAACTCTAATAGTGGCTTTTCAGGGTTCTGAGCTGGGGTGTGGTGCCCAGGACAGTGGGTCTGGCCCCAGGTCTGCCCTCCTTGTCTTCCCACCCACAGCTTGAACTGTATTTATTTACTTATTTAGAGATGGAGTTTCACTCTTGTTGCCCAGGCTGGAGTGCAATGGTGCAATCTTGGGCTCACTGGAACCTCCACCTCCCAGGTTCAAGTGATTCTCCTGCCTCAGCCTCCCAAGTACCTGGGATTACAAGCATGTGCCACCACGCCTGGCTAATTTGTATTTTTAGTAGAGACAGGGCTTCTCCATGTTGGCCAGGCTGGTCTCAAACTCCTGACCTCAGGTGATCTGCCCGCCTCAGCCTCCCAAAGTGCTGGGATTACAGGTGTGAGCCACCGTGCCCGGCCAGCTTGAACATCTTGAACATGCCCTTTCCTCATGTCACAGACAGCTGCTCCTGAACCATGGCAGTCAGCTCTCAAAAGTACGAGCACAGACAGAATTCTGGGGTCCTGAGTACAGAAGTGTGATGTAGAAGGGGGATAACAGAGTCAGGTGGACATGTCTTCTGGCCTTTGGAGCCCTTGCCTTGTGGGGAAGGAGCATGTAGGAGGAGGACAGGGAGGGCCTTTAAAACAGAGGGCAGGCTCCCCTTTTCCCTGGGCTAGGGGGCCGGGCATGAACTGCTGTTCAATCTTTCCATTTTCTCCAGAAAAACCAGAAATCCAAATTTTCTGTTGCTGTTATTGTTGGCAAGCAGTTTAAGTGAGTTTCACAACAAGGTGCAGGCTGAAGACGTTTCCGAGAATGTTCCGCTCGTTGGCCCCATTTCTGGGTTTATGGGGTATGAGGACTTTGTCAAAATTTGTTGAACAGTATACACAGTTTTCTTTCTGTATGTTGTATTTCAATGCAAAGCTTTATTCAAACAAAGCAGAGCCATCAGAGGTCTGAGGACTGGGTTCGGCCTGTTCACCTGTCTGGGTCCTGGCTTAGAAGGTTTGCTTGGCATTTATTTTGGGGGTGGGGCAGGGTGATCCCATCAGTTAATTTCCCCTCTGGGACCTCGTGGTTTAGGGGCTATTTCTCATAAGGGAACATGATTTCCTGAAAAGTACTAGGGGGAATCTCAGAGCTTCTTCTGTTTTTCTTTGCAGCCACCAGCGGGCGACAACCCACTGACCCCAGAGGCTGCCGGGGTCTCTTCCCATCCCTAACACCACACTGCCCCCTGCTGGTCCTGGCTCACTGCATTTTTCCATACCACTGATTTTCTAGGACCAGTAACTCATAATTGCCCCTGGGGGCAAATTTTGGTAATAAATGTTTTGGAGTTTCTTGGGCAAGGCAGGATTTTGAATGTGCTTCCAGGGAGTCAAAGATTGAGGGTCAACACAGGTGCAGACAAACACAATACTCCTGTGGGAGGAGAGTGCAGGTAGGGAGGAGGGGAGCACAGGTAGGGAAGAGGGAGGTAGGGAGGAGGGGAGCATAGGGAGGGAAGGGGGAGGTAGGGAGGGAAGGGTGAAGTAGGGAGGAGGGTAGTGTAGGTAAGCGAGAAGGGAGGACATCTCGGCTGTACCACGTGCTCCTCTGAAGGCAGCTCCAGCTCACACGACCTCCTGATTCTGCAGGCCTATGGGTGTAAGGGAGCCCAGGAGCTCATGGCTCTGAGCGGCCCACCAAGGATTTCGCCTCTGATCCAGCTTCTAGCAGCACTTGGAGCCAGCCAATGGGAGTCACACGGGCTCATCACACAGCCACGTGCCTGCGACTGACCGGTCATCCATCACACGGTGTTTTCATGTTCACATTTGCCCAGTAGTGCTCTTGCCCCCTCCTCCAAACAAAAGGAACCCTAAGCACACTGCAAGGGGCGGGGGGAGCCTTGAATGGATATAAGAAAACCTTCATCAGTGGCTTCATAACAAGTATCTTTTTCACAGGGTGGAAGCAGTCACAGTTGGGTTCAGACCCTGTAGTAACTGGGGCTCTGTGTTTCTCCTCTTCAGGGCTATCTGGATGGACGTGAAGGCTTCCATCCTAGGATCCACACAGTTGGCTTACAGAGCAAGAAAAAGGATGAACAAGGCTTGGGTGAGAGGGCAGATGAAACTCAGGGCTGTGGCTTCTGTGGTCAGTGTTTACAATGACCCTGGGCTGCAGAGAGCTCTCTAAGGCTGTGGTGTTAGCGTCCAGCTTCTCAAGACTGATTGCTGATTGCTAATTTCAATCCCAGGCATCTAATTAATCAACGGAGGATGGAGTGCCTTGGGTTGTGGGGTCTAGAAGAACTGAATTTGAAGCCTACCATGTCACTCACTGGCTGTGTGATATTGGACACGTTGCTTAACCTCTCTGAGCTTTAGCTTCCCTATCTGTAAAATGTAGATGAGCATGTCTAGCTCTCATGGGAGTTAGGGTCATTTCTTTTGGTGTGTTCCCCAGAAACAGACCTGAGACCAGGGTTCAATGCAAGTGATTTATTGAGGAAGTGCTTCTGGGAAATGGGAATGTTTGCAGGAAGCAAAGCCAGGGTAGCAGTTTCAGGCAGTGTCCTGCTGGGGGCAGCCTCAGTTTGGTCCTGCAGGGAGTTCTGGGGTGTAAGTTGTTAGAGCCCATTGGAGGCAAAGGGGCTGGGACACCTGTCGTCAGTGCCACCATGTGGGAGGAGGAAGGGGGCAAACTGCCTGGCCTTCCCCGCTGCTCCCTCTGTGTGGGCAAAGCTGCTGCTCCCATAGCCAGAGGGCAGCCTGCAGGGGTTTCAGTTAGAGACAGAGGCACACTGCTGCTGGGAGGTGTGCACACCAAAATGCACCAGCCCTCTGAGGATATCTGGGCAGTGCACTGCAGGGCTCCTGTGTGGTCAAATTTAAAAATGTATGTGAAATGCCTTAGGTTGGAGAAACAACAGAGATTTATTTCTTGCAGCTCTAGAGGCTGGAAGTGCAAGAGCAAAGTGCCAACAAGGTTGAGTTCTGGTGCACCCCTTCCAGGTTGCAGAGGGCCATCTTATTACATCCTCACTCAGCAGAAAGGGGGCGAGAGAGCTCTCTGGGGTCCCTTTGATGAGGGAACTTCCCATTCATGTGACTCTACCCTCATAATCTAATCACCTTCAAAAGATCCCCTCCCACCTCGCCCGTTACATCCTAATACCATCACATTAGGGGTTAGGATTTCAACACAGGAATTTTTTTGGGGGGTGGCGGAAATATTCAGTCCACTGCATGAAGGATTTCTGCAAACTACGAAGTGGGATGCATAATGTTGGTTATGGTAGGCTTCCCGGAGCAGCAGTAATGACGAAGGGCTGTACTGGGGCTGCCCCCCACCCCACTCTACTGGCATGAAACAAAAATGAGAAGCGAGTTTGTTTGACACATTCTAATTCTTTGGAGGCAGGGTCAGGCTAATCCTGGGGTCAGGTCCTAGGTGCTGAGCCTCATTGGTGGTCAGCATCTGGGGCCATCAGAAACCAGCAGATAAGGCCAAAACCAGGGACAACGTGTCGAGCCAGAAAAGCTGAACCTGTGGCTAAGCTCACAGTTCAAACTTCCAGGGACAAATGGAACTAGGTGAGAGCAGGAATAGAGTGAGGCAGCAGCCAGGCAGGAGAGCCCAGGATGGCCGAGAATGAATAGGATGGCGCCCTGGAGCTCCTCAAACTGGGGGTGGCCATTCCTACGTGGGGTGAAGGTCAGAGTGCACTGAAGTAGTATTGCCAACACCCTTTCTATGACAAGGGGCAGAGACTCAACTCAAACTGCTTCAGGTAGACAGGGAATTGATCAGCTCACATAAGGAGAATCAGATGTGGCTTGATCCAGGGGGATCCAGTTAAACCCATCAGGATCCAATCTCTTTCTTCCTATCTCTGGGCTCCGCTTCCAGCAGCTTCACTCTCAGCAGCTTCTCTCACAGTGGTGAGATGGTGGCAGCCAGGACAGGCTCGCATCTTCCTGGCTTTCTTTCCAGCAGAGAGACAGAGTCCCCCTGCAGACCTCACTTCCCAGTGCTCCCTTACAAATCCGGGCATCTATGCTGCTTGCATCTGCCTGGTTGTGTAATCACTGCTGGCCCAGCCACTGGGATCAGGGGGTTGCAAGGTCGCCACTGCTCAGGCCAGAGCCATGCACCCACCTTGTACATATCATTGTGGCCATGGGGCATTCAGACTACCCAGCCCAGGAGGGATCAAGTACACAGACAGTGGGTTGTGGCTCCCCAAGAGGAAATAGCACGCTTTACTGAAAGGAGTGACAGCAGATGCTGAGAGTCCAAGACCAGCATGCACCTACCCCAGCAGCCATGTCTGACTTGTTGAGATAGGTGCTAGGGTGCTAGGCCCCAGCAGCACCTGCAGGAGCCACACAGGGAGGTGCCTTTCCCACTCACAAGGGTCCAGCGAGGTACAAGGCACCACCTGGGCATTCCCTGTAGGCAGCAGTCTCCAGCCACTGTCACCCGCATGCAGACTTTGGCTGGTTAACCAGGTATCTTCTGAGACTTAGTCTCCGGGGAGAACTGGGTCCTGCAGCCCCAACCATGAACACGACATAGGAACTTTGAACCTGGACCATGAGCACCGTGGGGGCAGCAGCCGGGGGGTATTCTTGCCTGTCCAGCTCAGAGTAGAGACTCAGTGAAGGAATGGACAAATGAATGAGTGAGTGAATGAATGAATGAATGAATGAATGATGCTATTTCCAAAAGCACTTCCGGGACAAGACAACACTCTGTAAGACCTGAGTACAAAACTCTGTCTATCCAGAAGCTTGGGGTGGCCAGGCAGGTTGTCAGGTCACCTCTCTGAACTGTCACCCTACCCTGAGCCACTGGCACCACCTCTCCCCTGGAGATAGGAATGCGTTGATCATCCTCTCCAAAACCGCATGCCCCTCCTGCTCCAGCCCCACATTTACCTTCTGTTTCCCCCAACACCTGTCTCTATTCCGCAGCGCATTCTTTCACTTTCTTTCTTTTGGTTTTTCAGAAAGTAAGGCTTGATCTTTATTTCTTAATTGGCTTCTTGTCTACCTTCCCTTTGCCATCAGAAGGAGGGGGCTTTGTTTTGTTCACTTTACACCCTGAGTGTCTAGAACAGCGCCTGGCCCGTGGCAGGTGCTCAGTCATTGCTTATTGAATGAACAAGTCAAGGAACTTCAGTTTTGTTTTCTAAAAACTGGAGGCTTGTCTCCCTGGCGTTCTAGCCTGAAGTGCTAGCCTGGTTAGGTGGCCCTCCTCACCCCTGCCCATTTCAGCTTCTCACTGTCATGCAGTTATAACCCATTGTCTTCATCTGATCGTTTGCCTCCCCACCCCACCCCCCACACAAGACAGAGAGTAGGTGCCCTGGCTGGTTGTGCTTGGGGCGTGGGAGGGGCCGACACAAGTCACGTGTTCAGAGGATGGAAAGCTGGAATGGAAAGTTCTCACAAACCCTAAGGGCAGCACGGCTCAAATGCTGGTTGCTGTGGTAGTTAATATTATTTGTGTTGCTTGCGGAAGAGGCCTCAGCAGCTGGCTCTCATCAATATTAATTGTTGGACCATCTCTCCTGCCTGGTATGGCCAGCACCCTGCGGAGCCTGAGCCGCTGGAAGTCAAATGGAAAATCCCCAGCGAGGGCAAGCTTTGGAGACCATGGGTATCAGGCAACTAAATAAACAGGCAGCCTTGCCAGAATCACTAAGGAGCCCATCTTGGCCTTAGAAACCTGTCCCTCCCCTTTCTCTCCCCCTCCTCCACCCCTAAAGGCTCAGGAAGCTCTGGGGAGCGGATGCAGGGCTTGGCCATTCCGGCAGGCACTGAAGGGAGGCTGCGGTGTTCATCCCCGCCCCCCTCATTAGTTCATTTATGGAAAGTCTGACGCTGCCATCCCTGGGCTGGGCACTGGGGAGGACACAGGGGTGAGCCAGAGGAGGCATTAGCCTTCCACGGGTACACAGCTAATGGGGGGCCAACTCATCCCCAGGAGAGAGGAACACCCACAGCGTAACTGGCTCCTGGGCAGAAGTGAAGAGCTGTGGTTGTTTGAACCTTTATTTCTTTACAGGCCCCACATTACAGATGGGCATTCTGTTCCAGGAAATCTTCCCATACCCTTACAATACCAGGGTTGACTAGGAACAGGCACATTGCATGAGAATGTATGTGTTTACAATCCTGACTGGTAAAACCAAAAATTCAATTAAATGTTAGCAGGGAGGGTGGGGCAGGAACCAAGCGACATGTTGTGGCCTGGGCTGGACTGGCTGTAGCTTCTTGAGACGTAAATTCAGCAGCATTGGACCGGGGATGCCTCCTTTTCTTGAAAAACCTTGCTGCTAGCCATTTTTGCTATTTCAGAATGATGCTTATCAGTCTTGAGAACGCAGTCCTTTGGGCCATGTGAAAGCCTCTGCCATCTTTGCAAGGCACACGACTGGGAGGGAGACCCTAGCCTATCAGCGATGGGTGCAGGGCGGAGGTGCCATCCAGTGAGCTAGGGAAGATGCCAGAGGGGCAGGTTCGAGGGGAAAAATCAAGAGCCCTTTCCCAGTTCTCTTGCTGCCTCCCTGCTCCAGAAACTGCAGCACTCTCTACTTGAGAACCAGCCCTGCTTCCCTATGGCCAATGGTGGCCTATGGCCCACCATGGCGCCCACCCTGACATTCAAGGCCCCTTCCCGCTGGCTGTATCCCTTCATCCTCAGCAGCCTCAGCTCCACTGCTGCCTTGACCTTCATCCAGCCTGGCCTTCTAGCCCGACCCCCATGCACCCTCTGCTGTGCACCTGCTTCTGCAGATTCCATGCCAAGTTAAGTCTTGCCTCCTCTAGGCAGCCCTCAGTGATCTCTTTAGTTGCTGCCTACAAAGTCCATGCACCTCTTGACATTATGGAACACCTTCTTGCTCTAATCCCTCCCTTGACTCAGTTATCTGTTGGGCTGTTGGCAGGCTGGGAATGGCCAGGCTGTAGTCTCTCCTCATCCAGCAGGCTAACCTTGCTTGCATTCTCAGGGTTCCAAAGCCAGAACCAAAAAGAAGCTTCTTAAGGCCTAAGCCCAGGACTGACCCAGAATCAGGTTTCAGTCCTGGTTCACCAGTTACATGGCCTTGGGCAAGAAACCTCTGCATGCCTCAGACTCCTCATTTGTAAAATGAGGATTAAGCGAGTTAACATGTGTGGAAAGAGCTCAGAGCTACACCAAACATCTCATAAGTGCTATACAAATGTTTGTTACTGTCAGTGAACTAATAAAGAAAATGATATGGTCCATGTTCCTCGTAGTGTTGAAATGTACTGGGCTGGTCATTCAGGTATCATTCACTCATTCACAGAATAGCGGGTGTTTGCTAGGAGCCAGGCACTATGCTGGGTGGTGGGGATAACGTGTTGAATAAGATAAACTTTGCTCTTAGATGACTCAGATAGTTGGGAAAATTGAATGTAGCTTTGCGATTCGATTTGCTACAGGTGTGATGATGGAGTGGGATCAGGAGGGGATAGGGAACAGGGGACCTGTCCTGCCCCAGTGGGGCAGGAAAAGCATCAGAATGAAGGTGACACTGGGGCTGAGCCTTTTAAAGCTGAGTAGATTGTCTACTTTATATAAAGCACAGATGAGAACCAGACACAGAGCTGTTCATGTTTTCTTCTTTTCTCTCTTCAATTATCATAATAGAAAACGACAACAGCAACAATGCTAACAAAGTGAGAAGATTTCACAGATACATTTTTACATCTTTTAAGGTTAGATATTTTTAATCAAAAGAGCACATCGAAATCCTACATTAAGAAAGAGTCTTCACTGTAGAAAAGTGAGTGATCGCATGGTGAAACCAGGTGCTTGGGTAGCAAAGGTCCAAGAATAGTTAAAATACCTTTTATGAAGTCAATTGCTTACATTTACAAGTTGATCATGAAAACATCAGTAAGACACAGAAACATTTCCGATGCTCTCGGCACGAAGAACTGGTATCCGGAGAGCAGCAAGTTACAATAATAAGGTTTCTGCAAAAGATTAAATAGTATAAAGAATATTAGTATGCCTTCAACTGGCGGAAATAGGACTGAGCACGTGGAAAAAGGTCAGAAATAAGATGCAGATTTGCTCAAAGGTTGCTACCCAGCACTCCCACGCCCATCCCATTCCTAAGCTCTTCCCCAAGCATGCGCCTCAGAGGCACTGGTGAGGGGCCAGGTCCCTGGAGATCCCAGAGACACAAAGTTAGGGGTGGGGAAAAATCCAGCCCCACACTCCCATCCACTTTGTAGGGTTTTCTGCCTTCAGTCTGGGGGTCCCCACAAATGCCCAAGATGGTGGAAACAGTCACATGGATTTCTAAGAGACCCATATGACATGCTGGGAGTTCCAGATCACTGTCCTCCGCTGGCATTATTTGAACTCATGGCAGTGACCATGATCACTGCTGCTGCTCAGAAGAGCTTTGATTTATTCAATGACTCACAAATGGGGAAAAGTGGAAAGCACGCATCGTTTTGGAATCAGAGATAGGATGGTCCAGGGCAGGGTTCCCTGACCTCGGCACTGTTGGCATTTTGGGGCTGGGTAATTCTTATTTGTGGGGGGCTGCCCTGTGCATTGTAGGATGTTCGGTGGCATCCCTGCCCTCCACCCATGAGATGCCAGCAGCAGTCCCCACCAAGCTGTGAGAATCAAAAAGGTCTCCAGACATTGCTGATGGCCCCTAGCCCTTCCTTGAGAACGACCGGCCTCATGAAAGTCACCACTAAGTCTCCTAGTGAAAACTCAATAGTTAGGTGTCCTGGGCTCAAGACCCCTGTCTTCTGAGAAGCTCCACCTGGCAACACTCCCAAGCCTCTCAGAGACTCAGTTTCCTCAGGTTAAAAGGTTGGAAGCTCCCTTCTGCCAGCGTATAGAGCCCTTGTCAGGACCATCTGCACTGTTGGGACAATGCTTCGAACGTCAAACGCGGTAATGGTGTGGTTCTTTAAGAAACTGGCAGAAAGCAAGCCAGTGAGACAGATACAGGGGACACAGGGGTGTTGCTCAGCCACATGGACGGGGCTCGGTGTGGAGTGGGCTCTGGTTCTCCCAATAACCAAGGCCTGCAAATTCCCTGCAAATATGCTGTGCACAACTGTCAGGATTTATTTCCAAGGCAGAATGGGGCTCAAATCTCCTCTTGGGGAGGCAGGAAACCAGCTTGAAAAAGGATCCAGGAGCAGATGACGACCTTACCAGATGTCTGGATGGAGCCATCTGGGCAGGGGTGAGGCGGCCGCCACAGTCAGAAGACCAGCATCCGGAACCCCCCGGGGACCGCACCGCCTGTGCAGCCTCTCCAAGGACCAATGGCCACGTCATTCTCTGCTTTTATTTTCTATCTTGATAATAAACGCATGGCTTCTACAGTGACTCAGAACACACCACACACTTTTATTTCAAAATTTATGGAGTCAATTTTGTGTACTTTTTGGCTCTTCCATTCTGCTTCTGGCAGTAACTGTTTTCTCGCTCCAGGGAGTCTTTTATCGTCTTCAGTCATGATGGGTTGCATTGCTTTGTCCTTTGTCACTTTCCCTCCTCCTCAAAAAGAAACCCAGTAAATGCTCAAGGTCTGATCTCAGAAGGACGCACTGGGAATGTGTGGATGCTGTGATAATTCTGGTTATCCAGATTTTTCAGAGAGGTCCCTTTTCCTGTTTGGAAGTTGTGGACTCTGTCCCTCTGGGTTCTCAGCACTCAATTCAACCACCGTCTCCTCCATCCCTCTCAGGGAGTGACCATGGTCAGGGGCCTATGGAATGGGCCAGGGTGGGAGGGGCTGGGGCAGGTGAACATAGAACATTCAGGCTCTGACTGTTCCCTTTGGCTCCCTGAGCAGAGCTCCCTGGGCCTCCCTGTCACAGCAGCTCAGCCCAACCCTGGGACTTGCTCAGGGACAATCACTGGGCATCTGCCAGGATGAAGCAAAGGGGGCCCGTGGCAGCTGCAGTGAGTACAAGCCACCTCGGGGCTCGGGCAGGCAATCCTGGGCAAGCCCTTTGCTTCCCACTGAATGCACAACATGCTGGACCACGGACCCCTGGGCCAGGCGCCCAGACTCTTGTCAGCTCTCCACTAATTCTCCATGTGGCCTCAGCTGCTCTCCCCCCAAAATTAAAGGTCTCGATTAGATGCTCTGTAAAGCCTCTTATCACTGCGAGGTTCTGAAACTGATAAATCCATGTGCACTGCTGCCTGCCCCTTTCCTGGACTTACACTTGAACATGGCAATCTGGCTACAAGCTCTTCAGGACCAAACCTCAACCCCAGTCTCCGAGGCCCCAAATCCAGAGATGGTCCATCCCAGGGGGATCACCCTGGTGGGCACGGATGCAGGTGCCTCTAGAGCTGACAGAACTGGGTCTGAATCACAGCTCCTTAGCTGTGAGCAATCGGCTCTGGCCTCAGTTTTCTCCACAGAAAAATGCGACAGTAATTAATGTGCATCTCTCTGCATCCTCATTCCTGCCCCCAGGGGCAATTTGAAAAGTAAATGAGACACAAATAGAGCAACAAAAAGATATGCAAAACTGACACCAGCAAGAATAATAACTGGTAATAACATTACTGCTAATAACAAAGGCAGATCATGCTTCTGAAGAAGGAAAGTGCCATTTGTCTTGCAGGGATCAGGCAGCAGCGCTGACAACAGACAGACTCCACCGAGCCTCTTCAGTCTCCAGGGACCCACTCCAGGATATGCCAGAGTGCTCTGGCCGGCCTCCAAGCCTTCCAGCTGAACCGGGGCTGGAAAAGCGTCTGCTGCCTTTCCAGCGAAGTGCTGCTGCCCCTCCTCCCAGCCTTTCTCCCTCAGATCCTGGGGGATCTGAAAGGAGAGAGAATCATTTCTCTCTTGGGGGTAGAGTGGAGCAGGGAGTCTTATTTGCTTCTTGACCTTGACTTCATGGGAAAGGGGAAGGACAGCATTGTCTTGGAGTAGGAAGAGCTGTGCCATCATCCTGCCTGCCTGGGTCCCTGGAGGCACAAGTCCTCTTAAGACAGGCCTGGCTACAGTGGTGTCTGGCCACTTCTCAAAGACTTCCAGTGGTGGCCACTCACAACCTCACAAAGCAGCAAGTTGCTCTTTTTTTTTTTTTTTTTTTTTTTTTGAGACAGAGTCTCGTTCTGTTGCCCAGACTGGAGTGCAGTGGCACGATCTCAGCTCACTGCAGCCTCTGCCTCCTGGTTCAAACAATTCTCCTGTCTCAGCCTCCTGAGTAACTGGGATTACAGGCATATGCCACCATGTCTGGTTAATTTTTGTATTTTTTTTTTTTTTTTTTTTGTAGAGACGGGGTTTCACCATGTTGGCCAGGCTGATCTTGAACTCCTGTCCCTGCCCGCCTCGGCCTCCCAAAGTGTTGGGATTACAGGCATGAGCCACTGTGCCCAGCCTAAGTTGCTCTTTTGAATCACCTAATTGCTTGTAGAGGAGCAATGGAGGGGCACACAGAAGGGCAAGCACAGAGAACGTTCCAGAAAATGCAGGACACTTTCTCTGAGGCACAGCTATTTAACAGGCAACCCCATCAAGGGAGAAGCCAGTACAGAGGTCCCAGCTAGAGACTGAACAAGGGGTGATCCCTCTCCCCTGTCACCTTGCAGAACAAGATGGTCCCAGGACTCTGACTCTGCACTCCTGGCTGCTGTGAGCCTCTTTCTATGTGTGGGTGCTTCTGTTGGGGTCCTGGGTGTTGGCCAGGGAGGGTCCCCTTTCTGCCTGCATCCCAAGAAAACCAGTCTCTGGGAACTTCACCGGAGACTTCCAAGGAGACTTGAGCTCAGTCTTAAAGAAGCGGGCATGCCTTCGGGACCGGTACCCCTGAAATCTGGGCAGAGAGAGAGCACTGGGCAGGAGGTTGAGCATATTCCACTCTGAGGGCGGTCAGGGACCTGTGGAAGCCAGAGCTGGCCCAGGCCACACCATGACGGGCATCTTGAGAAGCAGCCTCTGCAGATTCAGGGCCTGGTGTAAATGTGCCCTGGAGGTGTCATCCAGTCACAGAAGGCAGTACTGTGTGGCAGAAAGAGCCTGGCTTTAGAGCCCAACTTCCCAGGTTCAAATCCTAGCTTGTCACTTTCATGCTGTGTGACCTCAGGAAGGTGACTTCATTCCTCTGAGCCTCTGGTTCCTCATCTGTGCACTGGGGCGATGATGCTGTGTGGTGATTGTAAGGAGTTAGTGTGCATGCAAGTCTAGCGGCACCTGGACACATAATTCAAGCAGTGAGGACCGGCATCTTTCTCCCCTTTCCGAACTGCTAAGACGGACCCCCGCTGAGGCAGGAGGGAGAGTGCAGCTCGCTCTGGCCGGAAATCCATCCTTTGCTCCTTAATCAGACACTAATGGGCGCATCTATCTTCATTGTTGTTTGAGAGATGGTGGTAAACAAAGTTGATAAAGAAACCATAGGAGACCAAGATGGAGCAACCCCAAGGAAGTCACTGTAATCTGCAATGCAGAGTGGTCGAGGTCTCCAATGCCCTGGACCATCTACCGCTCTGATACTGAAAAGCGAGAGAAGCTTGAAAACTGAATTTAACTGACATTTATGTTAAGGGCTGGAGGCTGAGGGGCCTCCATAGGGAAAACTCCTGCAGCCGGAAGCGCCCAGTTCCTGGGATGCTGGAGTCCTCTTCAGGGCTAGAAGCCATCCTTTTCTCCTGCCATTGCCTTCACCTCCCGTTGCCGCAGCAAACACAGAACCTCCTCTCTCGACTGCCATCTCCACGGGCCATTTGGAAGCCAGGCAGCTGCCTCCTGCATCTTTACAGGGGTCAGGCCCTCCTGGGGATGTGGGGCCAGAAGGGAAGATCTGAGCGTGTGAGGCAGAGTGACTCCATGAGGACATCACGCAACCCCGCCTTGGCTCTGGGCTTCTCGCCTTGGGTTTTCTCATGGAGACATCCATCTGTTAAAGATCTTGCTTATGGAGCAGACCTGGGGTTTGAGGGAGAGAGACTTGCTGGAGACACAGCCACCCACGCACGCCGTGGCTAACTCCCCAGCCCAGCCTCCACCCTGTCAGTGATTCCAGGAATTCCAGGCAGGTGGTCTGTGTCCCTTCTCCCTTAATGCCAAAGTCAGGTTCTTTGCACTCGTGACCTCCCCTTAAGCTGACGCACTGGCAGATGATAAACGGCGGCAGTGACGGATGTGATCAGTAGGAACTGGCAGCCATGAGCAGGCACTGTCTGGAGCCAAGTTAGGAATCCTATTACCATGGCGGCTTCCAGGGAAGAATGCTGCTTCTGGACACCTAAGACGTCCCTTTGCCTGTCGTCAAGAACGCTCATTTCTCCTGAGACCAGAGTGAAAAGTCCAGCTTTCTTGTAATTGTCCCTAAACCTACACGCGAGCTTCCTAACCAGCTTTTAAAGTTTCTCTACCACAGAGGGTGTTATTGACACAATTTTTCTCTTTTTTTTTTTTTTGCAGTGTACAAAGTGAGGAGAAAGCCTCTCTGGGCCTAGAGATGAGTGAGCCCCCTTCTGGGACCTTTCTCACTCTATCTGCACAGGGAGGCTGCCTTGGGAAGGTGTGGGGCTGGGGGTCGGTCCTGTGCAATAAGATTTCCTAAGGAAGAAAGAAAAGTGTGCCCTTCTTTCTGGTTTTTACTTGGAAGCTTCCTTGTTTGCCAGGACCCCAGATGCTGATTTTTGAGAATTTAAGGAAGTGGCTTGGGCAGAAGCACTTTCACGCTGCAGGAGAATGCATGGTATCCACACTGAGTGTAAAGGACGGGTGACTGAGCAGCCTGCCAATCTTGCATCCACCTTCAAGATGCCTGGACATTCTCCCCAGGGCAGCTTCTCGGCAACCTCCTCAGGGAAGTGCTTAGTTGGGGCAGAGAGAGCAGTGAGCTGAGCAGTGAGAGAGAGCAGTGAGCTGAAACAGAGAGGACACATCTTCCTGTCCCGACTCCTCCACGAACGTGCCTGGTGACCACAGGCAAATCACCCCCCTCTCTGACCCATGCATTGAATAATTCAGTGGACATGAATCTTGTTCATCTTTAAAATTCCACGATTCCTCAGAGAAGAAAGAGTGTCCTCACGTGGGTGGCCTGAAGAGTCCACTGCCTGGCAGATCTAGCTGTTAAAGACATCCTCTCCCATCCTCTCCCCTCCTCTTCTTCAAAAGAAGAGAAAGTCCAGCCAGGAGATAAAAACCACTAACAACACTCCCAGAAACCCCACCCTATGACCAGTAACCTCCCATCCCTGGGTCTCCGGATGCACTTGGGTCTTGGAAGGGACCGGGTGTCTCGTGACAAAGGTGCCATTTCAAAGTCAAATTAGGAACATCCAATGGCCCTACTAGGTGGCCAAGGGACTGAATGTTAAACCAGAATTGGGTCGGGAACACTGAAGTCCTGAGGGTCGCTCCTGCCCCAGCACCCCACACCCTAGGTTCGATAAGTTTGCATAAAAACAAGACACACGAGTGATTATTTACCACCAGCAAGCGACCATCAAACCGTGCCTATGTTTTAAACCTAACTAGCTGTTCCATCTAGTCTCCTGTTCCTGGAATGTAGTTTCAAGGATCCCCAATCTGCCCTCTGAAGGCCTTGCCCCATCATGCCTCTAGGGGTGGGAGGCCCATACTTCCATGTCTTCTGACTCAGCTTGACCACAACATGGGATATTTGAAATCAGGGCTGCTGGGGGGAAATTCCAGAAGGATGGCTGCTGCCTCTGGTCAAAACTCCTGGTTCTAGACCATGAGAGCAGCCAAAGGCCAACAGCAAGTCAGAGCTACGTGCCAAGCCTCACCCCATGGTGGTGGAGGGTGCGCCGTCCTCAGAAGGTGAAGGCGTACACCACACCCACCACCACGATGTTCCCCAGCGTGGCTATGATGGCAATCCATAGCAAGACGGCGTCGTTGGAGGACCGAGGAGGATCTTCCGGCTGGCCCTGGCCGTTGGCAGCTGCGTGGACATTGGCAGAGGAGTTAAACAGGGAGTACTCGGTGCTGAAGTCCTCGTTGGGCGAGTCCATGAAAGCTCCTCCCATCATGGGCAGCTGCAAAGAAGGAGAGAGAGAGACAATTATCCAGGGCCATGGGAGCTTGGGTAGATGTGCCCTCCGAAAGGGAAGTGGCCTGGCCAAACAGCCCCACATGAAGCTACAACTTCTACTGCACCTGCAAAACAGGGCTTTGCTTTCATGGTTTTATAATTGATGGTGCATATGGTAATCTATAAAAAATTAGTGTTCACAGCAGCCTGTTGAGGCAGACGTTGTCATGCCCACGCTACTATGAAAGCATCAAGGAACTCACCCAACAGCTAGCTGGTGACTCACTAGGACTCACAGCAACCCCTCCAGCCATTCCCCTCCCCCAATGCCAGGCTCCTCCATAACAATATGGGTTGTAAAATACCTTCATTCCTCTTCTAATTTTAAAAATAATATATGCTTAGCATAGAACACTAAGAAAACACAAAACAGGATAAAAAAACGAGAATCATGATCCCACCACATGATCACTGCTAACATTTTGATGGTTTTTATTTCCAATCTTTTTTCCTCTGTGTGTGTGTGTATGTGTGTGTGTGTGTATGTGAGAGAGAGAGAGAGAGAGAGAGAGGGTGAGCGAAAACACATTTAAATGTGTTTTTTAATCCATGTTTCAAAATGACCATCAAAATTCCATTTTAACAGTTGTGTATTATTCTATCACGAACATAAGCCAAAATGTAACCACTGCCCTAGAGTTGGAGATTTAGCAATTTCCACTTTTCCTACGAAAAATAATACACTGATCAACATCCTTGTACATCCTTTAGCATGTACATGCATCCTTGTACACACATTGTTATTTATTAGGGCAGACTCCCAGACACACAATTTCTGAGTCGATGAGTATGAACACTGTATACCTTCCGGTGGATAGGAACAAATACCCCAGAAGAGTGACCCTAATTCCCACCGCCTGCACCGCACACCACTGCACACGGGACGCCAGAATGTTTGTATTCATGGATCAGAACTTCCCATCTCTGTTTTTAAAGGTTCTCTGCTGCTCAGACTTCAGGTGGGAGGTGAGGTGCTCCAAGGGAGGGGGTGATCCTGGACACAGCAGTGAAGAGGAGGCCCCTCCCTGCCCCAGCCCAGGAGGCCCACATCCAGGCTTCCCAGGCCCTCTCCAGAGGCAGAATGTGCATCTGCATTCCCGGGCTGGCACTGACACCTATTTGGCCCATAATCAATGTTTCTTTTGAAGGGAACCTGAGTGAATGAACACGACACAGTGATGCCTGCGTTGGATGCACAGTTACCAAGCACTGCATGAGACAGTATTCTGCGTGGAGCTCCTGCTATGGTCAGGGGCTGGGCTAGAGATATTAAAATACTCTCAATCATTCAACCCTCCTGGCGGAGGCTACTACTGCAACCCCATTTTACAGATGGATACGCAGAGGTCGAGGACATAGCACTAATCTGTGGTGGTGTCAGGGCTGAGCGCCAGGAGTGTCCGACTATGAGCCCAGGCACTCTCTGCTCCGCATGCAGCCCCATGGGCTTCAGGGTCAGGCTCCTGGAACATGAGAGGCACACGGGTGCCTGGGCAGCTGCTGCTCAGAAGCTCTCTGGCCTGCCTTGAGTCTCAGTGGCCTCTTCTTAAAGGATGACCATTACCAGGTCACCAGGTGGCCCTTGAGCGTCTGCTTCTGATGGGCTCCTGCCAGGAGGCACTCGGCACCTATATTCCTAACATGGTGCTGTCCTTGAGGGGATGGAGCAAGGCAGTTGTTGACCTTGACAGTGCAGTGACTAGAAGGGACTGTTATGGGGCTCAGGGCAGGCCAGGCGCAATTTCCGAGTGGGGGCTGCAGGTTACCATGCTGTGTTCACCCCTCGAGGGGTACATTTTTATATAAGTACTTCTTATATGTATAACATATTCTATTAATATATTTAAATTAAATATGATGACCAATGCAGACAAGAATATTACAATAGTTTTTTTAGGCTAAAAATACAATTTTAAGTGGAAATAAAAGAATTGCAGGTCAGATGGGGTGCGGGTGAATCAGACACATGCCAGCCTAATGGGCGGCTTCCCCTTCCCCAGGTGACATCATCAGTGCCTTTGCCCAGCCTGTCCACAACAGAAGGCCTCCCAGGCTAAGGTAAAGTCACCAACATTTGCTGGTGGCCTCTTGGAAAGCAGGCTCAGTGTGGGAAGCTGTGCTTTCTTCCTCTTGGGTGTGACAAGGGGGTTTGTTCTGCCCCCACATCCCCCCATGACCCCTGCCAGATTCCCCGGAATTAACCAGAGTTCCCGTCCCTTCCCACTCATTGCTTCTTGTCTCTCCTCCCTCACCAGGCCCATGCTGCTGGGTGCTTAGACAGATGGCTCCCTGGACTCCACGCATGGGATCTGATCCACTCTTCCACCCCATGGAGCTCTCTGGGCATATGTCCCATCTCTCTCCTCTCTTTAGAGCAAATGTGAATGAGATGAGTATTTTCATCCAAATCACTGGGGAAAGAGGGAGGGAATCTGGACAGATCCTTTTGTAGGACTCCCGCCAACCGGGTCATCAGGTGGCCCTTGAGCACCTGCTTCCGATGAGCTCCTGCCAGGCGGCACACGGCACCTGTATTCCAAACACTCCTGCCAAACAGGTCAGGGTGATGCCCTCCAGCCTCTGCACCCCTCACTTCTCTGCCTCCCTGCAGGTATTTATTTAATACCTTTGCATGTCAGTTTCCTGTTGCTGCTGTGACTAATTACCACAAGCACAGTGGCTGAAAACAGCACTAATTTATCATACAGTTTCAGAGACCTCACTAGACTAAAATCGAAGCGTTGGCAGAGCTGCACTCCTTCTGGAGGCACTAGGGGACAATCTGTTTTCTCCTCTTTCCCAGCTTCTAGAGGCCGCCCACATTCCTGGGCTCATGACTGGGCTCATGGCCCCTTCCTCCATCTTCAAAGCCAGCAGTGTAGCATCTTCCAATCTCTCTCTCTCATCTTCCAATCTCTCTTTCTCATCTTCCAGCCTCACTCTTATAAGGGCCCTTGTGATGACACTGAGCTCCCCTGGCTAATCCAGGCCACTCCTACCATCTCAAAATCCTTAACTTAATCACACCTGCAAAGTCCCTTTGGCCATGAACGGTAACCCGTCCACAGGTTCTAGGGGTTAGGATGTGGACATCCTTGGTGGGGGCATCATTCTGCCGACCACACCCCGGACTTCTGTTCCAGAAAGGAGTCAGGATGGTGTGCATAACTGGATGTCCACTTCCCATTAGACAGAGAACTCTTGAAGGCAAGGATATGGTCTACTCATCACAAACTCCCTCAGCCCCATCCTTAACATACAAAAAAAGTGACAAGTAAAAGCATGCGGAATTAATGAATATGAAATCAGCAGGAGGGTTCCCCACAGGCGGTACTTCATAAACCCCAATCCTGGAGCTCCCAGACGTGGGACAGGCCTCATGGGGAGTCCCCTTTGCCCTGCACCTGTGGTGGGAGCTCAGAACTGCCAGAGAGGATGGTCACTGTTGGATGGATTCTGCTGTCTCGGAGCGTGGGAAACGAGGGTGGGTTCTGGTGTCAGAAAGGCTCGGGGTGAATCCACATACAGTGGGGCTTGGGTGAGTGACTCACCGACTTGCCTCAATTTCCCTTCTGTAAATGATGAAGAGAATGCAGTCCAACCAGCGAGATTGTTGCAAGCAGTGAATAAGATCATGTATAAGAAAGCATGGCCCCAAACAGTTACACAACAATTACCAACCAGTATTCCTTCCTTCTGTCTTCCTTGTAGGAGAGTATTACATGCATCTCTTATCCAGCTGCTTAAGCTGAAGTGAGGAAATCAGGAACACGGCATTTCTAGTCATGTGCTTTTTGTGTGATCGATAACTAGATACTCATTTTTAGTTGTCAGCAGATGGCCGCCCGTGCCCCCACCGTATGCTGAGACAGGCGGCTGAGAGGTGCTCCAAAGCCGGTCAGCCCTGTTGCTCCATCCATCTCAAGTTTGTTGGTTTTATTTTGTTTTGATATTTTTTTCTTTGTAAAACAGGTTCTAAATGGAAAGTGCTGAGTTAGACATAAAAACAACTTCAACCATCCTGGCTAACACAGTGAAACCCCACCTCTACTAAAAATACAAAAAATTAACCAGGCGTGGTGGTGGGTGCCTGTAGTCCCAGCTACTCCGGAGGCTGAGGCAGGAGAATGGCGTAAACCCAGGAGGCGGAACTTGCAGTGAGCTGAGATCGTGCCACTGCACTCCAGCCTGACTCCAGAGTGAGACTCTGTCTCAAAAAAATAAAAATAAAAATACAAAAATAACTTCAAACAGCAGAATTCCATGACTCGAAAACAAAAAGTCAGTCTCAATTCCAACATTTGGAAGTTACGAAAATTTGATGAGGATCTGGCTTGTGGTCAGCACAAGGGGTGTTGGCTGAGGTCATCCTGGAAGCAGGTGGTGAGAGAATGTCACTCTCAAAGCCCGCCCGACCAGCTCCAGTCTACTTTTAGCCACTTTTAAAGATGGCCTTTTGGTGGCACGCCACTGCTGGAAACGAGCAGCTGGGCTTTCTCACACCAGTGGGCAGGGGTGGCCACCGGCCTTCAGAGAATGGGACTCTTGGATGAGGTTTTGACTCAGATTTGGGGGGTGTGATCCTAACCTTAAACCCTAGAAAAGCTACTGTGCAGAAGAGAGAGTGGCTTAAGGGGGCAGAACTAGAAAACTAGTCTCCTGTTGCTGAGTTAGACGCTGGCAACCAGGACAACACGAGGTGACCTGGGGGGCGATGGTGGCCTTGATTCCCTATCGGAGGAGATGTTCATGTCAAGATTAAAAACAAACAAACAACAACAACAAAAAGACATTTGTTGGCCGGGTGCGGTGACTCATGCCTGCAATCCCAGCACTTTGGGAGGCCAAGGTGGGAGGATTGCTTGAGGCTACGAGTTCAAGATCAGTCTGGCTAATGTAGTGAGACTCCATCTCTACAAAATATAAAAAAAAATTAGCGGGGTG